GCATGATTTTGCAGAATGCCAGGTGTAGATTCTGTCAGCCTCCACACCCACGGGTTCCACATCTGTGGATTCAACCAACCGCAAACCGAAAGGATCCCAAAAAAACTGGATAGTTGTGGACACTTCCCTAGAGAGAGAGGACTGAGCCACCCTTACCGACGGTGTTATCACCACCAAGAGGCCAAGAGCTTGGGAAAGAAAAGAGAGTAAACAGTAACACTCACACAAGGACAACAACAGTCACACAAGGTACTTGATATACTTCAATCAGTCTTCTGCTCAATGATTCAGTCAACAAGTAATTGAATGTACAAGCAGGTAGAGACCCAGAGACAGAAAAGAAAGCTGAGTGCCTATGCCACTGATTATTTCTTCCTGACACCCATACATCTAAGCAAAAGACTGACTAGAGCCTGGGGTTGCAAACTCTAATGTCTACTGGAGCCCGATGAATAATTTAAGGAGATTGGGTGCTTGGTAATAGGGAGCAAGGGGACAGGGACAAACTAGAGGTTGTATGTTCCATCTAAAAGTGTTCAAATCGTTTTTCTTACCTACTATTGAGGCAAGGCAAAATGTGTATGCAGCCGAGACCTGGCTCACAGGCTGCCACACCATGGCCCCTATGTTTAGCAGAATACAGACCAAGGCATCCAGATAAGAAATTTCACCTTGGATCCTCACAGACACCTGACTCGAAGACATGACCCAAAATTTAAAATCACCTTCCTATAACCGACGGCTGCAATACACCAGAAGATGATGAGAGCTCTGCTACAGGAGAGACAAAGCTGAACAATCTATCAAGATCCAAAATTCTGGAACCTGAGCTTGATTCCTTATTTCTTCATTAGGATTGAAGAGTCTATTACATAAACAAAGTTTTCATTTTCTGGTGTCTTTAAAAATCAGCACCTATTCCTAAAAACTGCTTCATGGAGGTTCACTCTTTACAACTTAATTGTCTAAAATGCCAAAGAAAAGATGAAGAATCTCTACAATCCAAACCATACTTCACCATAAAGGGTCAAAGATAATGTCAGCAGATACACAGGTGAAATATTACAAATGTTAAGAACTCTTAGCCCTCTAAAAACATGGTTTCTTGAGTAAAGATTGCAGGAAGCCATTTTATGTACACTTTAGTATAATATTTAATTAAAGTAATAAACAGGTCTCATTATTTACACTGAAATGTTTCCTTTTTTTTCCTTTCAAGGCCAGTCAACATACAGGATATTCCAATATTTTTCTTAAATCAATAGCCAACTTTTTACCCACAAAACAACTTTATAGTCAGAAATATATAGGCTAATGTACACTTACTACTTCTTAATTGTTCTTAAAGCTAAATTTGAACAATAAATTAAATTCTTCAGTATATGTTATGTAATATAGACACCGGCTATAAAAATGTTGACATTGGTTATACTCTCATAATGCAATTTAGCCCTTTTAGTAATGACTATGCAAATAATCAGCCACGGGAAAGCCATTTTCCATCTAGTACAATTACCTAATATCACAGAAGTATTATTATTATTTGTTATTGTCCTGCTTATTGAAATTCTATGAAAACTCTTGAGGTGCTGATAGTTTCAAGGCCATTGTGAAAACTCTCCTCTTAACTGACTCATCTGGCAACTACAATTACCAGCGTTAAGGAGGGCAGTTGCAGATGAACATTAAACAAGAAATTATCCCCAGAAGGTTCATAAGTTCCAAACTTTAAATGGGGAAATACTGATGGGTCCTAGTATAGCCTCTTAACACCGTCAAGATACAACTTTTCACTCAGGCGAGGTCAACAGCTCTTAGCTGACTCAACCTCAATGGGTAAAAAACTCCATGATTCCAACAAGATCAGCTTCACGCCTAAATATTATCTACTTTTAGCCAATGTCCCCACAGTGCCGGTTACACTTCAGGAAGCTCAATGGAACCTTCTATTTTACTGTGCTTCAATCTTCCATTTCAGAATTGTTCCACCATCTTGAAATAGATCAAGGCACTTGGATGATCCATTGGCCACATCTGCTGAAGTTCTTCACCAGGTCTCTATCCGACTTCATCTTGTCTCAGCATAGAGATGAGGAAGGCCGTAGAGTGGTGAAGAGGGCAACGTATACCATTCTTCCAAGGAGCTCTAAGGTCTCCCACCACCCCACGTGAACCTGCTGGCCGTCAGTCAAGGCCTGGGCCTCCCCAACTCCAGAATCGTCCACAAGACCCTGGTCACACAGGAGACCAAGATGCTAATTTGCCTGTTCTCCATTCTTCTTCTCTCACACCAGTCAGCAAACCCATCATCTGAAAAAGCTTCAACTGTCCACGAGGGCCTAGAGGAAAAAGCTTCTTATGAATCACCCCTGCAGTCTGTCGTGGGTGGATCACCCTGCAATGTCTTATGCAAAAGGTTAATTCTACCCCTTCAGGGTGCTCATCTCAATGGAGTCCAAAGCCTTGAGAACCAGAGGTCATGTTAACCAATTTATTGTCAGGGAAGTACAGGTCCAGGCTCACCCTTGCGTCTGGTTTCTTGGAGGCCCAGCAACCCCTTTGTTTGAAGGCGCCTGGTCTCTTAGCTTCTTTATCCTGAACCTGGTCTTGGCCACCAAGACCTCTGAGGCCATCCCCTCCGGGGAGCGGTGTCTGTTCCTTGTTTTGTCCACTTGTGGAAAACCCAAAGCAAAACAGTTGTGTTCCTAAGCCCTTGCTCCCCAAAGACCATGGGTATCCCTTCATTGTTTGAAAGATACCAGACTAATTTCTTCCTTCGCCACTTTTGGGAAGACATGAGAGTATCCAACGCTGGCCACTACCCATGTGGACCTAGAGCCAGGTAGCCGCTGAGGGTGACGGGAGTGCTGGGCGCTGGGCTCGCATCAGTGTCCTGTGTCCCCCGTAGCCTCAGACTTCCACGTTTCCTCCCACCCAGGGCCCTCTGCAGCGCCCCCTTTCGCCCCTAGGGAGCACGACACCCGCAAGGGCCGCCCCCTCCGAGCCCGGAGGGCGTCGGAGCCGGTGCGGGGGCAGCAGGTGGTGGGTGAGGGAGGTGGCCCGGGGGCCCCGGGGAACGGTTTGGTGGGTGTCCCCCCGAACCCCAACCCAGCCGTCCCCTTTGCAGCCCCCCGGCACGCCGCCTCACCCCGGCCGGGCTCCACTCCGATCGCCCGCCCCCTCCTCCCCCGCGCCCCCGGCCCAGCCCGGCCGCGCACCCCCAACCACACACCCCCACCGGCCGCGGCGCGGCCCCCAGCATTCCCAGCACGTCCAGCGCCGACTTTTACCTGTACTTTCTGCACTCGAGGCGGCTCGTCGGGCGAGAAACACCTCCCCGGGACCGCTACCTCCCCCGCCCCGGCTCCGCCCGGCTTCCTCCTTCCCCTCCAAGGCCGCAAAGTAGATGGAGTAAGAGAGTGTGTGTGCGAGAGAAAGAGAAAGAGGGAGCGGGCGCGGGCGCCGCGGGAGGCGGCGGGCGGCGGGCGAGAGGCGCGCCCGGCCCCCGCCACCCTCCGGCCGCCGCCGCCGCCACCGCCTCGGGCTCGGCAACTCCGGATCGCGCCCGGCCCCGGCCCCGGCCCGGTCCCCGCCGCCCGCCGCCGCCGCCGCCCGCCGCCGCCCGCGGGCTGGGGCCGGCCCGCGCCCCCGCGTCCCCGTACCTCGTAAAGGTCCCCAGAAGCCATGCCAGGCTGCGGAACTTGGCTCGCCGGTGTGCGCGTCTGCTCGCTCGCGCCCTCCGTGCGTGTGCGCGCGGGGGCCGGTGTGCGCGTGTGTGTGCGCGCGTGTGTGTGCGAGTGTGTGTGGTGTGTTGAGTAAACTGTGTTTTTGCAGAATGACAGGCTTGGGGGCTGCCTATGCGCAGAATCAGAGCGGGCGGCGGCGGGGCTGGCGTAACCGGCAGCGGCGGCGGCGGCGGCGGCGGCGGCACGAGCGCGGGCAGCAGCGACGGCCGCGCAGCGCGCCCGGGAGGCACGGACCCGGCCCGAGCGCCGCGGCCCCAGCGACCCGGCGACCCGGCGGCGGTGGCTGCAGCCGGCAACAGCTCACCCGGGCGCCGCCTGCAGGAAGCCGCCCGGCGCCCGCCGCCGGCCGGGACGCTGCTGCCACTGGGCGAGTCCCCGCCCCCCGGGAGCCCGGCCCGGCCCCCGGGGCGGGGAGGGGGGGGAGCTGCTACCCGGCCGCGCCCCGGGGGACCGGTCCTGGAGGCCACGAGCGCTCGGGCCCGCCCCGCCACCCCGGGCCGGCTTCGGGGCCAGCTGGCGGGGCCCCCGGGGGGCGGCGGACCAGGTGCTCGCCGGGCGTGCCCGATCGGGGGCCGCGAAGGGGCGGCCGGGAAGCCAGGTAGAGGGCTGCGGCCGCAGACCGCAGGGAAGGGACCCCAGCGGAGCCCCGCCGGCCCGGAGTCCCCACCTCCCTCCTCCACCCTGAAGCGGGGTGGGCGCCGCCTGGGAGACCTGGCCCCTCGGGGCTGCGCGGCCCCTCCCTCCAGGCTGGGTTGTAAGATGTGGAGGCCACAGGGAGGAGGGATGAAGTGGCCCATCCAGAGGTGCCGTGGAGATCGAGGACAGGCGTGGCCACCCCATAAACCCTGGAAAGTCTTTAGAGCCAGGCGTGGGCTTCCCTCAACAACCCCTCACCCCCATTCATTCACTCATCTCCTTACCCAACATTTACCAAAGTCAACCCAAGTGCACAGTGTCTCTGGACAGGCACAACTGGAACCCTGCCCACAGGGACTTTGAATCCACAAGTGGGGAGTGTAATTAATGGAGCCTCAGTTGTTCTTCTAAAAGGTCATCCTGCGTGTGACAGGCTGAGGAGCTAGAGAAGCTCTCCAAAATCCAAACCTATTCGTTAGCCGTCTCTTCCTACCAATATCATGGATAAAGGGTCACTCTTCTGCTTAAAGGTTCTCTTTAAGATATTTCTGAGACTGCAAGCCCAGGCTGTTGTGAAATTGGAGGAAATATCTCCATCCCCACTCAGGAAATGCCTACCTGGCTCCAGATGTGATGTGTCACTAACTCACATGCTCCCTGGGTCATTTTTTACTTGTGATATGGGCAGGTCACTGAGCCTCGCTTGCCTCATCTCTCGATTGGAGCTGGAGATAGGGACCTACGGGATTTAAACAGAATTAAGGAATGGATGTATGCAGACATGAAGTGCCTTTCCATCCCAGCAGAACTCAATAAAGGTGACTTGCATCTGAGCCCCAACCTGAACTGCCCTCATAGAGAACGAGATGGCAGAGGGGCTCAAGAAACTGTTTAATCCAGAAGTCGTCAAACTTGGAAAAATCACCAAATTTTTTAACCCTAAAAAAAACATCCATGGAACCTGCAGCTCGACGGTTTCATGTCTGGCTCGTGCCAGGACACATGAGTTTGCATTTGCTGTTTCTTCTCCCTAGAATGTCCTTCCACATTGAATCTACCTGAAACACTCTTGTTCTTCCTATGGGAGCTTGTGTATCTTTTCATCACAAGGATCTTCCACTATTCCTGACAGAGAGTAGGTACACTGTGAATGTTTTTCAAACTAAGCCAATACAACACATTTTATACCCATGTCTAGTTAAAATCCCACATGGAGATGATGAAGGAAAAAATGGTGAGGATATGGAATGAATAAATAAATCGGAAAGCATATTTGGCTTAGAAACTGTTGAAATTGTTAAAGCACGTCTCTCTTCATATTGGTATTTTCCCAGTGGTCATGGTTTTAAATAATAACAGTAATAATAAGCAGTTCCCTATCCATAGGTAGCAAAACAAATTTGAATGATTCTTAATTTGTACTCAGGAATAAATGCACCACTATAGCATGAGGACGTAATCTGGAAGAACACAAGAAGGAAACTGGGCTTGGAAATAATAGACTCAGCCAAATTTGAATATATAATCAGTAGTTTTACAAAAACACTAAAAGCTTGACTTGTACTGGCCAAGTACTCCCTCAGAATGTGAGTGAAGTTTGAAAAACCCTAGTAGAGACAACAGTTGTTTATAGAGTTCACAGAAGAGGATACTTACTGTGGATGGCCATGCTCAGGAAATGTTTTAGGGCTGAAATGGATCTTGAAGACTCATAGAAAAGGAAGGACGGTGTTTTCATTGAGGAGAAGTGGTCGGGACAGATAGCAGGCAATTCTGCAATAGGAGGGGTATGAGAAGATTAGAAGACTGGTTTATGGAGGTTACGGGCCCCTGGGTGAATGTGGGTCAGTTCGTGGAGAGTCTTGAAAGCCAAGCTAGGCAGTTTGCTATTTAGCAGGTCAACAGTGGGGAAACTCCTGAAGACTTGAATCGATCAAAAGCATGTGACTGTCAAAAGTGTGCTTTAGAAAACAAATTCCAGAAGAAATATGGGAAATTGGCTGCAGGATTTGAGGTTAGGGGCAGGGAGACCGATTGCAGTGGTCCCTGGTGGTAGCAGTACAAATGAAGAAGAAAAACCGGATTTGTGAGATGTTCAGAAGGAAGAACCAGGCTAGCTTTCATTATGGTTACTCCACCTACTTCCATGAAGCATTAGATTCAGATCAACAGGACTTGATGACTAACAGGATGTGTGTGCATTGAGGACTGGGGGAGGGGCCGTGACTAAGGAAAGGATACAGAGGTGACTAAGGTTTTAAACTGAGTGACTGAGCTACCCATCCGTCATAACACCATTTTATTTTGAGCTTACCCCCAGACCATGGCTAGCTTCCAGAAAAGACAGGTGCTTCCTGAGGGATGAAGGGGGGAAGGGTCTTCACCCACTGTAGGAAGGTCAGCCCGACCAATTAACAGTGAGGCTCTAAGTTCTCCAGATGATAGAGAACTAGTATTGCTCATGGAGAATAGAAGATAGCTGCCATCTTCCACAAACTGTGGTAGAATCTTCATATTGGTCATAACTCAAGATCGACTGATAGAAAGTTCTAACTCAAAGCAAGAGAGTATTTACTGACTCACATAGACTAGAAAAGGATGGAATTGCTCTCAGGATTGGCTGGATTCAAGGTCTGAAAGGACATAAAATAGCTTCTCTTATTCTCTCCTTCTTTCTTTCCGGTTGAAGATAGGCTTCTTCCATGCAGCTGAGAATGTGGCACCTGGCCACTCACTCATCTGGGTTTATGCCTTATACAGTATTTCTAAATCCTAGGGGAGGACTCTATTTGGCCAGTGTAGCTCATATCCTGTCTTATTGGTCCAGTCACCACAGTCAACAACTGATAGGACACTATGATTGGCCAGGCTTAACTCATACTCCTATCTATGGGAATAATGTGACAATTGGCAGTTTTACCAGAATTACCTGATGGGAATCAGGTATGAGCAGAAGCCCAAAGGAACGGTGGAAGGAATACTGAAATGGTAGGTGTTTATGCCAAAACAAATCTGAGACAGAAAGAAAACTTAGGAACAAGGGCAGTAGCTGCCTGGAACATGGCCTTATTAATATAATAGAGCAAGACCAGCCAGTTTAATATCCAAGGGAAGATGGTATCCACTGCCTTGACAGCAGCACTGAAATGTGGCAATATTCTCTTTCTGGTATTATTTGAGACATGATCTTGACCGCTGGTATCCTGTGGTGGTTGAGCATGTGAGCTCTAGAGGTAGATGGCCTAGGTCCCAATGCCTGCATCATCACTACTAGATATCTGGTATAAGCCTCTTTGTGTAACCTCTCTGCCCTTCCATTTCCAACTGCGTGTGTTATTTATTACTGCATGAGGAATTATCCCCAAAACTTAATGGTTTTAAACAAAAGGCATTTCTAATCTCACAGTTTGTGTGGGTTACAGATTTGATAGCAACTTAACTGGGGGTGCTTCTGGCTCAGGATCTCTTGTGAGATTGCAGTCAAAATGTTTGCTAGGACTGCATTTATCTGAAGGGTTGGCTGGGCTGGAGGATCCACCTCCAAGATGGCACCCTCATATGGCTGTTGGCAGGAGGCCTAAACTCCTAGCCACATGGGTCTCTCCATAGGGTTGCTTGAATGTTCTCATGTCGTTCTCATCTTGGCACCCCCAAATCCAACAAAATAAAAAATGTCGAAGCTTCAACTCTTTCTAGGACAGAGCAGCTAACTAATCTGATGTTATAGTCCATGCTAAGAAGACTATTTGATGCAGGGATTATTTACGACACGTCAGGTTGAGTAAATGGGGATGTGATCTGATCCACACACCTCACTTTGAAGATGCAAAAACTAAGACTCAGGTTGGGTGATCTCAGAGAGAGCAAGGAGAAAATCACAGTGCCTTTGAATATCTCATCTTAGACACCAAACATAGTCACTTATTTTGTTCTTTAGAACTGAACCACTAAGCCAAGCTCATACTCGAAGGAAATTAGACTCCACCTTTTAAAGGCAGGACTAACAAAGAATTTATGGGCACAGTTTAAAGCCACACCCCATCTATAAATTGAGGTGATAGATAACCTATAGAGTTGTTTGGAGAATTTAATAACCTAATCCCTGCAAAGCGTCTATAATAAGGGCTGAGTAATGGTCCCTGTTGTCACTACAACTACTATTACCCATTTCAACCTTAATATGAGTCACTGATATCCTTGAATGTCAAAAATTCCAATAGAAAGGCATTAAATCAAACAAAACCTTCAAACTGAATATTGTTTTCAAGCTATACAGAAATTCTTATTACTAATTAAGCTTTATTTCCAGCATTCATTTATTTTACTTCCATAATGATTTTTATTATTACAGTCGTACTTATTTAATATCTACAGTGTGCTAGGTACTATTCTTGTTGAACAAAACAGTATCCTACCCTCATGGAGCTTACAATACAAAGGGAAACAGAGAATAAGCTAAGAAAACAAAATACGTGTATACGTAATTTTATTTCAGGTAGTGATGCGAACTAGGAAGAAAAATGAAGCAGGTGAAGCAACAGGAACTGAGATGGAGTGTGCCAGGGACAGAGAGGGGTGCTGGCTTAGGTAAGGTGCTTAGGCAAGCCCTCACTGAGGTGGTGACATTGCAGCCAAAGCCTAAACAAGTGAAAGAGGACACAAGTCAGATCAAATCAAAGGGCAGAGAATGTCAGAGAGAGAAAGACAGCAAGGGCAAAGCCCAGAGGCTGGAGAAGCTGGGTGTGTTCCTGCAAACCAACCGGTCCGGCTGAACCCAACTGAGCAAGAAAGAACACGAGAAGAGACAGAGAGCTAACTCCCAGAGGTCATCTGGGAGGCTTTGAGCAAGGGATTGATATGATAGGATCACTGAGCTCCTAGATAGAGAATGGCATGAAGAAGGACAAGGCTGATGCTGGCCACCTTTGCAGAAGTCCCTGAGTGAAGTCCTAGTGATGTGGGTGATGAGGAATAAGGAGAAAGCTGTCTAGATGAAGAGATGTAATGTAGCTGGATTGAGAATATATAGGATAATGCTTGAGACATGAGGAAGGGGAAGAAATGCTAATTTTTGGACTGAGTATTCAGATGAATGGAGGTGCCATTTACTGAGGCGAGGACAACGGGTGAGTGGTGCATTTGGTAGGTAGTATCAGGGGTGGGTGAAGGGAAAGCAATAATTCTATTTTAGGATAAGTTAATTTTGAGTTGGGAATTCCATATCCAAGTAGAGACAAGGAGTATTGGATATGTGAGTCAAGAACTCAGCTGGACATCTATGTGGCTGGGCAGCATATCGAAGACAATGAAAGAATATTCGCTGTAATCACCAGTGGGATGAAAGCAAGACCGAAAGAGGAGAGGCCCTAGGACAAAGCCCTAGAGCAGGTGAGCATTCAGAGGTCAGGAAGAGGGTGAGGAAGCAGTGAAGGAGCCTGAGAAGGCATGAGGGAGGGAGAAGGGAACCAACAGAATGTGCTGTCCCAGATTCAAGTGAAAGAAACCAAAATGAACCTAAAATGTTGGTAGAAGGTTGGTTAAGAAGAGGACTGCGATTTGGCAACGTAGAGACATGTTTCGGTGGTGTACGAAAGTTCAAAGCTAGATTGAAGCAAGTTAAATAGAGCTTTGGCAGAGAAGAGGTGCAGATGGTGAGCCCAGGTGACTCATTCAAGGCCTTTTGCTATAAAGGAGCAGAGAAGTGGGTCAGTAGGTAGAGGGGGCACTGGACGCAGGAAGAATTTTTAATACAGGAGCTATTACAGTATGTTTGTGTGATAGGCATGCAATAAATGTTGGAAAATGGTTGTGCAATGAAGAGGGAATCGCAGCAACAGTCTTTGAAAGTGCTGACAGAGAGGGGATGCAGAAGTCCAAAGTGGAGGAACTGGACTTAGGAGCAGAGTCAGCCTGTATTAGGTTGAATTGTGTCCCTTGAAAATTCATGTCCACCCATAACTTCAGAACATGACCTTATTTGCAGATGTAATTAGTTAAGATGAGGTCATTAGGGGTGGACCCTAATCCAGTAACCAGTATCCTTATAAGAAGAGAAAACAGAGGGAGGCACACAGAGAGAAGCCCATGTGAGATGAACGCAGAGACTGAAGTGATGCATCTGCCAGACAAGAAATGCCAAGGATTGCCAGCTACCACCAGAAGCTAAGAAGAAGCAAGGAAGCATTCTTCCCTGGAGGCCTGCCAACACCTTGATTTCAGATTTCTAGCCTCCAAAACTATGAGAGGATAAATTTGTATTAGTGTAAGCCACCAAGCTTTGCTAATTTATTACAGCAGCTGCAGGAAACTCAAACACCAGCCACTGAAAGAACAAGCATGGCTGCAGATGAATTGGGTTGACAGATTGGAGCTCTCTTTCATTATTTCGGTATTCTCCATAAAATAAGCCATGCAGTCATCAGATGAAAGTGAGGAAAAAAGAGAATGTATCAGATAGGGGAATGTGATCTGCCTGAAACAATATTGGTTTGACTGTTGTATCCTCGCCGACACCAAAAAAACAAACAAAAAACTATTAATAGAACCTCTTTCACTCCCAAAGGTATCCACATTTAGACAACATGTGAATGGTTTTTCTAGTGTTAGATGTTTGAGAACAGATTAAAAGATACAAAAAGTCGGCTCAAGAGAAGAGTGGGTTAACTCGGAAAATAGAAAGGCATTGCTGGAAGGTGCTGAAGGCCCACTGGATATTTGTGGTCATACGTTAAAGTTAGGCCAGTCAGAGTAGTCAGCATGGTTATGATTTATCC